AATGCCAATGGATCATGATGATTTTTTGTTGTTCACTTAGGGTGGGATAGGAGCAGGTAGATAAGAGGTAGGTGGATTTCTGAGTATATGTATAAAATTCTTATGTTACACAATTAAAATATCCTATATCTGGAAGCTTTTTTGTTTTATCATGTTCCCAAATGATTAAACACATTTGTGTCAGTATTTTATATAATTCTATCATTCTGAATAAATTTTAAAACAGCATACATACGACATACATATAGCATACATATAGCATAGCTAGCCTAACAAATATCTTGATAGGCAGCATTTTTTCTCCTGGATTCTTGTATTAGTGAAATAGAGTATTTTGTGTCTCTGCCAATAAATTTAGTGTTTACTATCACCTCTCGTACTCTGTTCTTTCCACACAGGTCACATTTCTGCCTTTGAAAAATTAGCTGCCCTGTATCCAGGAATATAACTATGTAAATGATCCTCCAGTAATTCTTTCTTTCATGGTCAGTCATGAACCCATGAAGCTAAGACGTGGTCAGCTGCAAGGATGTTTACTGTCCCCTATTCCTTAGAGGTGGAAACTCTTTACTAGGCAGCGATAGAGCCAGCCGCTGCTAAAATGCCACTTTGGGCCCGAGTTTCTTGGCTTCCACTGCATTCAGAAATTGATGATTCATGGCAGTGGTTCCCAACTAGAGGAGATTTGGGTTCCAGGTGGTATGTGGCAATGTCTGATGACAATTTTGATTGTCATGGCAGAGAAGAGGGTACTATTTGCATCTAGTTGGTAGTAGCCCAGAATTGGCCCAAGTATATTACAATCCACAGAGTAGTTCCCACAAGAAAGAATTGTCCAGCTCAGCTCAATGTCAGTTGTGCTGAGGAGGAAGAAGGATTGATAAGGATCTTATGTGACTGACTATGGGCAGGTGCAAGGGCATTAGGGCATTGCATCTACAAGTATGTAGTGGACATATCTAGGAACTGTCTTGTGCTGCAGTGAAGGTTAGGCCACTGCCTGCAGCACCGACATTCCAAAAGCCCTGTTTTGTGTCTTGGTTGCTCTACTTCTGGTGCAGCTTCCTGCTTATGTGCTTGGGAAAGCAGCAGAAGATGGCGCAAGTACTTGGACCCCTGCCATCCGTGTGGGAAACCCTGATGGAGTTCCAGGCTCCTGGCTTTAGCCTAGCCCTGCCATGTCTGTTGCAAACATTTGAGAATAAATGAGCAGAAAAAAAAGGATTGATCTCTCTCTCTCTCTCTCTCTCTTTCTCTCTCTCGTTCTCTCTCTCTATATATAACTCTGCCTTTCACATAAATAAATAAATAAATATTTTTCCTTAAAAATGACTTTGTGTCTAGAGTTATGGCCTCTAATGGCAAAGAATATGAAATAGTGAGACAACAAATAAATGAATTTCACAAAGTTTCCCTTATTACACCAACAGTACCTCTTTGGAATGTTTTTTTCTTGACTGTTTCCATTTCTGTGAGTAGAAAAAGCAACACTATGTGGAAAAGAGCTGTTGTGCAAAAGATGGAAGCTGGGGGGTCCAAAAGTCCAGCTATGTCATTGCTTTTGGGTTTATCCTGTCACTCTGGTCCTGCATTGGAGGCATTTGCAAGTACTCCACACCCCTTTCTGTCTGCTACAAAAGATTGTCTGGCAAGATTTGCATTTAATTTTCAGAGTTGCTGATTGAACCAAGATTATTGGAAGGAGGCATTCAGCATATTGATTTTTTTGTACATTAGGTAAAGGCACATTTATTTCTAACAGAGGAAATGGCTGTGTTAACTACTGTAATGGCTTCCTTCACCATTGGGACATTGGCTATTATTGGAGACCACTAATTAGGACTCGAGCCTGCTACAGCATAGGAAAGACATAAAGCATAACTGTAGGTGGGTGGAGAATATAAAATTGCATCATGTCTTACTGTTACAGTAGAAACTTGTCTTGGAATTTCTTGTAGGTGGGTCAAATCATGATGGCCTTCGATAGTGGGGCATAAAGATACTATGTAGTATACTCTAGTAGTTAAGTGTCTTAGTTGAACTCACAGAAGAAGAAACTACAATGATGGGTACCAGGGGGTCAGAGGAACGGGGAGCTGTGAACCAAGGATGCACAATTTCAGTTAGGCAGGGAGAAACAGCTCAGGAGACTTGGTACGAAATAGTGACCACTGTAATTCAAAGGGTGCATGGAAAATGAAATTAAAAGATAACACTCATTTGCCAGGAATTTTTGGAGCCCCCTCACAGCTAATGTATACTCATACCTAAAAATTGCTAGTGGAATAGATTGCATTTGGTTTCACTGCCAAAAAAAAAAAAAAAATATATGAGGGCACTCAAAAGCCAGGAAAGTGTGTGTGTTTTTCTGTGAAAATAGTGTTCACAAACGTGTAGGAAGAGCAGTTGTCCTTTAATTTATACTTTAATTTGGTGGAACTTTATTAGACTGAAATTAACCAAATTCCAGAGAGGACTGGAAGGGTAAGTGATTATGAAATGTTATGGATTCTAAATCGGGCATTTTGGAAGACAAAGATGAAGGCTAATAGTTTACATTTAGTACTAAATTCTGGCATTGTAATAGAAAAAGGACAGTTTGAATCAAAGGAGAGGATTTGTTTCTTAGATAATAATATAATGAGTTAGTTAAAAGAGCTAACCTGTAATAGGTTTATTAAATTAAGCAATAAAGGCTCATTTCTTTGAACAACCTGTTGTCAAAATCTTCACAGCTAACTTCATTTGCAATGAAATTAAATCAAAGAACTATTTAAAAGTTAGGCATGGATTTTCTCTGTTTTGGTGGGAGTTGAAAATGTCATGTCAATGGATCTGGCTATGATCAACCCTTTAATCCTGGTTTAATTATGGGTTCTTTGCTACTTCTGATTTCATAGTTATTTGTGACTGCCATTCAGACAGCCATAGTAATTTTTTAAATACGTAATTTTACATAAGAATCCCCTCAAAGTGACCTTAAGATGAGAGTCTCTAGACATAATTATAGAGAGGAAGGAACTACTGACCTACAATGAGTTGATAGTTTCCAGGAATATCTCATTTTCAGTTAATTTTTCAGTTTAGCACTGTGACAGAGTTTCACATATCTGCAAGCTTGACAGGAATGTAGAAGGGACACCTACAAATATTATCAGATCTTGCTTGTCTGTTCCCACAACTATGCGTTTGAAACACTAGGGGCCAGATAGAGTTAACCACCCACATTTCCCAGGAGGCCTGAACTCTGACTATGCTGTTTGCAGCTAAACTGTATTGTCTCAAGACCAGAGTACTTGCAGCTAGGTGTCACATGTCAAAGGGAATAGGAATATTTGTTGCACATAATCATTTTTGTTTGGGTCTAAAATTGAATGACAATGAATTACAGGTGCACAATTAAAGCACAGGTTTGGACAAAGTGAAATATAATCCAACAGTATCTATTTCTCTACCTATACATTTTTCTTATTTCAAAATAATAGTTCAGGGCCGGCGCGGCGGCTCACTAGGCTAATCCTCCGCCTTGCGGCGCTGGCACCCCAGGTTCTAGTCCCGGTCGGGGCACTGGATTCTGTCCTGGTTGCCCCTCTTCCAGGCCAGCTCTCTGCTATGACCCGGGAGTGCAGTGGAGGATGGCCCAAGTCCTTGGGCCCTGCACCCGCATGGGAGACCAGGAGAAGCACCTGGCTCCTGGCTTCGGATCAGCGCGATGCGCTGGCCGCGGCAGCCATTGGAGGGTGAACCAATGGCAAAGGAAGACCTTTCTCTCTGTCTCTCTCTCTCTATCCACTCTGCCTGTCAAAAATAAATAAATAAATAAATAAATACAAAATAATAGTTCAGTTTTTTTCAGTATTGTATGTCCCATTGACAAACTTTACCAATAGTGATTATTTCCATGAAAAATTTATTTTAAGTTACATAAACCAAATCCTGATTTTTTTAAAAAAAATGTATTCAAGACACTGCAGGCAGCAGCTTTACCTGCTTCGCCACAACACCTGCCTGCAATGCTAGCATCCTGTATGGACACCAGTTCGAGTCCTGGCTGCTCCACTTCAGATCCAGCTCTCTGCTATTGCCTGAGAAAGCAGTAGAAGATGGCCCAAGTTCTTGGGCCCCTGCACCCATGCAGGAGACCTGGCAGAAGCTCTTGGTTCCTGTCTTTGCATTGGCATAGCTCTGGCCATTGTGGCCAACTGGGGAGTGAACCAGTGGATGGAAGGAAGACTTCTCTCTTTCTCTGCCTCTCCTTCTCTCTCTGTGTAACTCTGACTTTCAAATAAATAAATCAATCTTTTTAAAAAAAAAAAAAAAAGAATCAATGATAGAGAGAGAGTGTGTTCTTATCCGCTAGTTTGCCCCCCAAATGCCCACGAAAGTACAGGACTAGGATTAAGCTGGGGACCAGGTACTCAATTCAGATTTCCCACGTGGGTGAAAGGAACCCAGTTATTTGAGGCATCACCACTGCCTCCCAGGGACTGCCTTAACAGGGAGCTGGTGACAGAAGCTGCAGCAAAGAACCAAACCTAGGCACTCTGATGTTGGACATAGGAATCTTAATGGCTAAGCTGAATACCCACTCCTTCTTTAAAATTATGACATTTTTCTACACTAAACTCTGTTTTTTCAGTTGTAATACAAAGATATTGACATCACCTTATCTTTAAAGTCTCTTTTGAAACCTGAGATTCTCTTTATTCTGATTCCAGCTCTTCAATTATGGAGAATATTCTGTTGGATTTCCATATTTATGGGGTTTTCCAAAAATGCTGCCTTGTCAAATGATCATGAAATATGCCCTGAGAGTTCTCTCTCCACTCCACAGAATGGGGCTGGCCCCATGCAGAGAGAGACCAGCCTTTGCCTGCCAGGGGCAGAATTCCAACCATCAGAGATCCAGTCATCCTGTCTTGCTAACTGCTTCTACGTTTGATCATCTGAGAATCTACAATATTAATCTGCTTTCTCCCCATTCACACTTTCCCCAACAGAAAGGCGAACCTGACTGCTACGCACTCTCTCTGGAGACAACTGAGCAACTCACTTTTGAGATCCCCCTGAATGATTCAGGTTCGGCAGGCCTGGGAGTGAGCTTGAAAGGCAACAAATCCCGAGAGACTGGAACGGACTTGGGGATTTTTATCAAATCCATCATCCATGGAGGTGCTGCCTTTAAGGTGAGCGGGAATGCTGTTTGCCCTTTTGTGACATGGCGCCTGGCAATGTCACTGTTGTGTCTGGGGACCGGATGAAGAAGGTGATTGCAAGCTTCAGACCTCTGAGGCTTTCCTGCCAGACTCAGGAAATGTGTCTGTGGACAGATCTGGGGAGCAATAGGCTGTTTTCAAACCATAAGTGGTTATTTTTACTTCCTGGGGATAGTTCTTAAAAGCCATCATGATTAACATTGTTTTTTGCATTCTTTTTATTATCCTATTAGGATTCCACTGAATTTGTAACCTGACAGAGCTGAGCCTAAAACACACACACACACAGGCAGGAAAACAAAACTATAAACAAGTAAACATAAAGGCAGCAAATAAGGAAATTGTAAGAAATGAAAGCTCAGCGGAGCCTGAGAAGGATTGCAATGTAAATTAAAGGTCATTTATCACATTTTATACCTTAAAAGATAGCCATGGTACCCAGAATGCTCATTTGCTTTTGAACACTTGGAAAAGCTTATATATTAGCAGCAAAAGTTGGGGGAGGTAGAGGATAGTGATTCTTCCCTTTCACGTTGGTTAGGCAGTGTGATCATAGCTGTTCCTGAAGTGTAATGATTACCTTGATTGCCAGTGTTCAAATCCAGCTCTGCTGTTTGCTGTGTGAAAAGCTGGCAAGGAAGCTGACCTCCTGTCTTCCATATCCTCCCTGTAGAATGGGGATGATAGCGCACACCCACATCCTAGGGTTATGAGAATTAAATACACACACACACACCCTGCGGTGAAAGCCATGGAGTGGTCGTGGAGCAGGAAACCCATGTTTCCACCTCGTGTCACTGTCGTATGCATCCCATGTCATGTAAAGAGACTTTGTGAGTTGGAATTCTGCCTGAGCTACCCTCCCTCTCTTTGAACATAGATAAGTTAAAATTTTGAGTGCCAACCTCTTAATGATGTTAAGACTAAAAGAGATAATAGATGTAAACTGTGCAGCCTAGGGTCTATGATAAACTTCCAATAAGGGTTGGAAGATCATTTTAAAATGATCTTGCTAACTATGCGTGTTTTCACTCCTGCCTAGTGGTCTACTTATACTTTATAAGACCATTCCTGGTCCTGGATCCTGGCTTTGTTGAAGTATTTGTTCACATTTGCTCTTCTACTTTCATTTCAGACCTCGACACTGAACAAATAACGTGTTTTTCTTTGGGAATTAAGAAACATATTGTGTGTAGAGAACTTTTAATTCACTCCTTGGGTCTGTTCACTTTTGTAGCATAATAAATAATCACAGCATTTCAGTAATATACATCGACAAGCTTTCGTTTTGCTTATAGCTCTGCAGGACCACTGGGAGGAGCTTTCTCATTGAGGCTGGTGTGTCTGCTTACCATGCTGTAGATATGTATAGACCTGAGTTTGTGCCACATTTCCCACCTTCTTCTTGCACTGGCAGGCCGGTTGAGGTGTCAGAGGGCCGGCCTCAGGGCTTGAAGCCTCATTATCAATGAACTCTGCACTGGCACACTCCATGCCACATGTTGCTCGAGGCAAATGGCGTGGCTGACTCCAAGGTCAAGCCGTGAGACACCTTCCCCTGTGATGAAGCTGCAGTAGGGGTGTGCGTGAGAGGCGGGTGGAGAATTGAGGCTAATCACTTATTCTAGAAGACTCCCTAATCTGTCTGACAAATACAGAACTAGTAGCGTAAGGGAAATAATGATACTTAAACAACAACTATTAGTGTTTATTGTACTTGGTGCTTAGTGTATGCTGGACCTTAGGTAAGGATTTTTATGGATTTTCTAGTTTTACCCTTCACATTTGATTACTATCATACCATTTTACCAAAAGAGAAATTATAGAAGACAGTGGTCAGTGCCTCTCCTATGGTCACATAGCCCGGAATCACTTAACATGAAATCGAATCAAGGCAGGTGGACTCCAAGACTATTATACACTGTGATGTGTTGCCAGCTTTTTCGTACCATCCATTCAGGTTCCTGAAGATCAGGGGTTCCTGCCCTAAAATTGTTGTATCCAGCATGTTCTTTTGCCAAGGCATCCAAACATATGCTCTGTTTGAGGATGAGCCCTTGGCCATGTGTGTGAATACAGTTTGATATTCTTCTTCTTATTCCTAATGACAACTCTATTTGCAGAATTTATTCCAAGTCAAATTGAAATGGAGATAACTTTTCGGAAATTAAAAGCAAACATCTTAGCTTTTTTTTTATGGGCAATAACTTAAGTTCATGCAGTATCAGCGGGCAGGTTTAATATGTATATACATGTTTGTGTAAGTGAGCTGCTCCTTACCTAAGCAGATCTAGCAGTCTTGCTTCTGGCAGAAAGATTTCGCTTTCCATTTATGTAAATTTCTTTCCTGACACTGGTCTGCTGAGTCAGACAATCACACCATTAAAAACCACTGGACAGCATATTTATAGCTGATCTTAAACAGTACAAGGCGTAAATCATGAATTTAGCCTTCTTGTGAAGGCTTAGCATCCATTTGTCTTATTTACTTTTTGCAGCCTACAGGGTAAGGGCCTGAGCTTGGCTCACGAGAAGTCTGAAAAACTGGTAGGGGGTGGAGGTGAAGGGCAGAAGTTTTCTATCCTCTTTCTGCTGTTCCAATAATTTACTGTTACTCCTCAGAAAATTGCCACCTGTTCTGTAGTTCAGGATTATGTCTTATAAAAATTGTTCTGAGACTTTGGTCCTGTCCCTGTTGAGAAGATACAAATGTGCCAGACTGCAGTGTCCCCAGGGAAAAGTGGAGCTAAGCTCTGGGCACATCCACCTTAGCATCTGGCCCAACAAAATCATCTTTCTGGCACGGCACAGTATTCTCTCCTGGTCCTTCCTGCCACTAGTGGGTTCTCAAGGTATTTTTCCCTTTTGGGAAGGTGGATTTGTGAAAACTAAACTACTTTGAAAAGTATGACCAATTCTTCTATGGATGCTGCGCACTCTGCTCTCCCAGGGGCTGCTGCTGATGTAAACAAAGATGGGCTACCTGCCACATGCAAGTCACCTGAGTGGCTGGGACTCTAACTGGGGGCCTCTTTTTCTTCTTACCTCTCAGGCTGCCATGTTCAATCCTTTCATCTCTTTTTTAGTTCTTGCTAATAGACATGTAAATGTCTGTTTGAAAATCATTGCATTCAGCTACTATAGGATGGATGCTCTCTTGGAAATGAATCCCCGACTCACTCCAGGGGCAAACTGGACGATATTTTGACTTTATTCAAATTTACCCAAATGCTTCATCTCATCTTAGTGTTTGATGTTGAGTCTACTTGTTAGGAAATAAAGCCTGGGTGGGCATTTGAGCTAGGAGTGAAGACAGTGGATAAGACGTTTATGTCCCATCTCAGAGTGTCTGAATTTGATGCTTTGCTCTAGCTCCTGACTAGATTTCTGCTAGACTCTAGGAAGCAACAGTGATGGTTCAAATAGCTGGGTCCCTGCTGCCCATGTAGGAGCCCTGGACTGTGTTCCCAGGTCTCAGCTGCAGCCCAGCCTGGTCCTGTCCTCTGCAGACATTTGGGGAGTCAACCAGTGATTGGGCGACCTCTCTCTCTCTCTCTCTCTCTCTCTGTCAGATGTATCGTTCTTCATATAAAAAAAAATTTAGAAATCAAGCCTATAAAACCCCTTGTATGTTTCAGACCTCCAACACTTGTAATTGCATGCTTACTTGGATACAATGCTGTCTAAAGATCCCACTGGAAGCAATACCTTTAGCTGTGCTTAAGCAGAGCCTTCAACCATAACATCCAAATGTTGCTTCTTACATTGTAGATCCTAAAATGCCTATACAACAGCATGTATTGTATGTTTCTTGTTTGCTTTTGCTCTCATTCTTCCTGAGTGTTTGCTTCTGAAGTACAGTTTAATTGCTTCTGGAAAAAAATACTAAATAGAATTATATATGTGTTAACTTCTTCTGAGCTGCGAATGATGACTGGAATAAAATTACAAGGTCCACAAGGATGATTTTGTAAAATTTCATTTTGTGGTTGTCATTTAATGTAAAATGTAACTGCTATGAAATAAAAAGAAATATTGTCTGTGTTGCAGTTAGAAAGAAATCCTAATAAAAATAGTCACCATTTCCCAAATCCACATAAACCTCTTCTCATCTTCTCCAGGGTAGCACACATGCAGTCTCAGGGATCACTTTGAAGATCTGAGATAGTCTCATGCTTATTTGCTAAACATTTTGAATTCTGAGATGAGTGGCTTTCCCTTTTTCAAGAATTTCTCTTGCTTTGAGCTGTACTATTTTTAAAATTGTTTAGAGAAAATGCTTTGTATGTCACTTGATTATGCTGACAGTTAAACAGCTCATTTTCTTATATTAATCACTTTTAGAAAAATATATACCTTTGAAAAATATAGGTAAGTTATTAACACTATCGAAGAACAAATATTTCATAGGGTCTGTTGCACTAGTTCTGAATGACACTCTTCATTTGGACATACTGATTTTGTGAGTGGAATATGTCCTATTGGAACCTTGAAATAATAAGATAAAATTAAAATTTAAAGGCAATTTTTGTTAAGGGGGGAAATGTCATGTGTCAGGTAGATAATTTAAGGGCTCTTAAGTAGAAAGAATGAATTTAAGAATATCTGTTATTCTCTGGGAAATTAATTAGCCAGGTTTGTGCTTAATAAATACTACTTGATGATGATGAAAAAAATGCCTGACATAGCTAATTGCAAATGCATGCACTCAGAATATGAAACAGACATAATTTAAGTAGTTTGATTCTTGTGTGCTTAGAAAATTCGGAATGATACTTCTAAAAGATACAGAATTGTGTAATCTAAACTATTTAGTAATACATAAAAGAATTTCTCACAAATATAGATGATTCCAATGTTTTAAAGTGAGTCTACTGTGAGATTGGGGAGACTGTGAGCTCTAGAATATTCAAGAACATGGCACTTGATCCTGAACCTCTAGTCTCTTTGTAACGGGGCACATTTAACAG